TGTGTAGCGTCGTCTTTAGCCAAAATCATCACTTAGCTACCTGGTTAAATATTTATGTTTATTAAAAACCTTACTGATGCGTACACGGGATTCGGGAATGAGTTCATGGTGCAATTTTCTACATTTGTTAAAAGAAACTACATAAGCTAGTTTTCATATTGTTTTTGCACGTATTGTTCACATGCACGTATATGTGTATATGTATATATATGTGTATATATGTATGTATATATGTGTATATATGTATATATATATATATGTGTATATATATGTGTATATGTGTATATATATATTTTCACAGTATGTACGTTTATTTTCATTTTTCTTTGAATAGAAACCTGGTTCGGCAAATAGTTTAATTAAACAAAATTGTATTTACATACAGCATGCTACATTTGTATACGTAGCTGCGACAAGTGAACATGCACCAGCCATTTACGTGATGTAATTAGTAAGTGTAAGTGTGCATGACAGTCTTTATGACACAGAAAGCTCAGGTTTACAAACAAGTTGTATCAAAATTTTGTACACGTGCCACATTTTATGTTGCAAAATTAAGCAACAGAAGCTTATGTCTGTTGGGAAAAAGAAAAAAAAAAAAAACGTGTGGGAGACACCACTCAGCAGTTCTGTACTGAACACCTCGTAGGTTCCTGGCTTGATATTGATTTGTTTGTCTGGCTATGGGTTCTTGTTAGCATTGTGATTTAGACACAAGTGACCTTCGGTTGTTGAGTGTCACTGAGACTTTTCCGCACGTGGAGAGAAGAGAATTTCCATTTCAAGGTGAATGGTTAATAACGGTGTTTGGACGTCAACGAGTTCATTGTCATTTGTCACGAGAGATACAACTCTGTTTCTCATATTCTATGAAAGGAATTTGTAATTACACGTCTGTGGTCCAACCTGTTGTCAGAAATGAGTCATGAAACCAATGTGTAACAAAGGCTGGTATGAGTTGACCAAGAGGTGCCTTTTTACTTTTCGATTTGTTTCTGTCTTTTTGAACGGTGCACTAATGTTTTCTGTTTTTTATTTAACTTGGGTCATATGAGACATTAATACTGAAGTTTTTAGTCTAAGACATGGGTTAAAAAGGTGAATATTTGAGTGTATATTCTAAATGTATATTCAACTATCTGGGATCAGTCCTCTTCAGTGACGCTGGAAGGTGGAGAATAGTGCCAGCAACGAGTGTGACACGGGCCAAGTTACGAGGCGAAACTGCGAGGATGACGAGTGCTCTTTAAAAAAGAATGAGCCAGAGTTTGCAAAGCTCAGATTTTTTCTGAGAAAGATCATAATAGACGGGATTAAATATGTGACCGAAGGAGCAGCTGCAGTTGAACAGCGTGGAGAAACAGCGTGAGAAGCCAAAAGTAAACACTTTGATGAATAAGTATGGGTTATATTTTATTAAGAAAATTATAAATATTCTCATGATGAGAGACAGGGTGAAATAGAGGAATAAAACCATGTAGATAAAGAGACTGTCTTGACCACAGTGCCTTACTTCAATATTGATGCAAGTCATCATGCCTTATTGAGATTTCATTATTATGAGTGTGATTACTGAAGATGAATTATTTGCTGTGGTTGCAAAGCACAATGCATTTTATAGAGAGTAGGAAAGGCTAGCAAGCAGAAGGTTATGCCTATATTTTTCCAGAAATTTGTGGTTTATTTTTTATGTCTACATGGAAATGTGATTGTGTCTTTTGGGGTTTGGGAAGCTGTAAAAAAATATCCAACAGTCTGACATTTTATTGATTTTTTTGTAATTCTGTTCCATGTTTTGCCTTTCTGAGAATCACTTGAGAATGTTTATTGCTGACAAAATATATGTGAAATAGGGAAAATAAAAGATTTTGAATGTCTGTACTCGGGTGTGTAAAATATTTTATTTCATGTCATTGTTATTAAGTGTAACATGATACATTCAAGGAAGATGTTAACAGAAACAGGCCTAGACAATTGCAATTGTTGTCCTACAATCGAAAAACATTACTAAATAGCAACGTTTATATATAATAAAAATATAAATATAATTCAAATTTTATTTTTATCTAGCTTCTTCTGGATTAAACAACAAACATTGTGTAAATATTAGCATATAGTCGACAATTAATGACATCGTATTAGAAAGTAAAGAAACAGAGTAATATAATAAATAAATACAACTTAAACTCGGAGACATTTAATAGTTCATTATTTTAATGGCAAATTTTAGACTATGCTACTGGCAAGGAAGAATTAAACTTCTTTGGACATGAAAGGAAGTTCCCGAAACACGTCACGTGATCGAAGCGGCATATTTCATTGGTCTACGTTAGCATAGTGTTTATTTCCGGAAGTAAGTTATCAGTGTCAGGTTTTCTATCAGTGCTATCGAACACATCGGTTTAAAACGCGGCGACGACGACAGGTACGAATTACATTAGAGTTAATTCAAAGTATTTAGTCAGTTTCGGTTTTTTTGTCTAACAAATCATATGTTTCGTACGCAGTTTTGACGTTGTAGTCACAGCTACCATTAGCATTTAGCTGCTACTATGCATAGCTTACGTAATAGTCTTTTGTGTTGTGTTCCACGAATATAAATGCGTAATGGAAACATAATTAATGATTACGGAACATAACATTTCGAACGGTGTGGTCATATTTGTGACTCCTTTTTGTTGAAGCCTACCCAGACGTCAGAGATGTGTAGCGTCGTCTTTAGCCAAAATCATCACTTAGCTACCTGGTTAAATATTTATGTTTATTAAAAACCTTACTGATGCGTACACGGGATTCGGGAATGAGTTCATGGTGCAATTTTCTACATTTGTTAAAAGAAACTACATAAGCTAGTTTTCATATTGTTTTTGCACGTATTGTTCACATGCACGTATATGTGTATATGTATATATATGTGTATATATGTATGTATATATGTGTATATATGTATATATATATATATGTGTATATATATGTGTATATGTGTATATATATATTTTCACAGTATGTACGTTTATTTTCATTTTTCTTTGAATAGAAACCTGGTTCGGCAAATAGTTTAATTAAACAAAATTGTATTTACATACAGCATGCTACATTTGTATACGTAGCTGCGACAAGTGAACATGCACCAGCCATTTACGTGATGTAATTAGTAAGTGTAAGTGTGCATGACAGTCTTTATGACACAGAAAGCTCAGGTTTACAAACAAGTTGTATCAAAATTTTGTACACGTGCCACATTTTATGTTGCAAAATTAAGCAACAGAAGCTTATGTCTGTTGGGAAAAAGAAAAAAAAAAAAAACGTGTGGGAGACACCACTCAGCAGTTCTGTACTGAACACCTCGTAGGTTCCTGGCTTGATATTGATTTGTTTGTCTGGCTATGGGTTCTTGTTAGCATTGTGATTTAGACACAAGTGACCTTCGGTTGTTGAGTGTCACTGAGACTTTTCCGCACGTGGAGAGAAGAGAATTTCCATTTCAAGGTGAATGGTTAATAACGGTGTTTGGACGTCAACGAGTTCATTGTCATTTGTCACGAGAGATACAACTCTGTTTCTCATATTCTATGAAAGGAATTTGTAATTACACGTCTGTGGTCCAACCTGTTGTCAGAAATGAGTCATGAAACCAATGTGTAACAAAGGCTGGTATGAGTTGACCAAGAGGTGCCTTTTTACTTTTCGATTTGTTTCTGTCTTTTTGAACGGTGCACTAATGTTTTCTGTTTTTTATTTAACTTGGGTCATATGAGACATTAATACTGAAGTTTTTAGTCTAAGACATGGGTTAAAAAGGTGAATATTTGAGTGTATATTCTAAATGTATATTCAACTATCTGGGATCAGTCCTCTTCAGTGACGCTGGAAGGTGGAGAATAGTGCCAGCAACGAGTGTGACACGGGCCAAGTTACGAGGCGAAACTGCGAGGATGACGAGTGCTCTTTAAAAAAGAATGAGCCAGAGTTTGCAAAGCTCAGATTTTTTCTGAGAAAGATCATAATAGACGGGATTAAATATGTGACCGAAGGAGCAGCTGCAGTTGAACAGCGTGGAGAAACAGCGTGAGAAGCCAAAAGTAAACACTTTGATGAATAAGTATGGGTTATATTTTATTAAGAAAATTATAAATATTCTCATGATGAGAGACAGGGTGAAATAGAGGAATAAAACCATGTAGATAAAGAGACTGTCTTGACCACAGTGCCTTACTTCAATATTGATGCAAGTCATCATGCCTTATTGAGATTTCATTATTATGAGTGTGATTACTGAAGATGAATTATTTGCTGTGGTTGCAAAGCACAATGCATTTTATAGAGAGTAGGAAAGGCTAGCAAGCAGAAGGTTATGCCTATATTTTTCCAGAAATTTGTGGTTTATTTTTTATGTCTACATGGAAATGTGATTGTGTCTTTTGGGGTTTGGGAAGCTGTAAAAAAATATCCAACAGTCTGACATTTTATTGATTTTTTTGTAATTCTGTTCCATGTTTTGCCTTTCTGAGAATCACTTGAGAATGTTTATTGCTGACAAAATATATGTGAAATAGGGAAAATAAAAGATTTTGAATGTCTGTACTCGGGTGTGTAAAATATTTTATTTCATGTCATTGTTATTAAGTGTAACATGATACATTCAAGGAAGATGTTAACAGAAACAGGCCTAGACAATTGCAATTGTTGTCCTACAATCGAAAAACATTACTAAATAGCAACGTTTATATATAATAAAAATATAAATATAATTCAAGTTTTATTTTTATCTAGCTTCTTCTGGATTAAACAACAAACATTGTGTAAATATTAGCATATAGTCGACAATTAATGACATCGTATTAGAAAGTAAAGAAACAGAGTAATATAATAAATAAATACAACTTAAACTCGGAGACATTTAATAGTTCATTATTTTAATGGCAAATTTTAGACTATGCTACTGGCAAGGAAGAATTAAACTTCTTTGGACATGAAAGGAAGTTCCCGAAACACGTCACGTGATCGAAGCGGCATATTTCATTGGTCTACGTTAGCATAGTGTTTATTTCCGGAAGTAAGTTATCAGTGTCAGGTTTTCTATCAGTGCTATCGAACACATCGGTTTAAAACGCGGCGACGACGACAGGTACGAATTACATTAGAGTTAATTCAAAGTATTTAGTCAGTTTCGGTTTTTTTGTCTAACAAATCATATGTTTCGTACGCAGTTTTGACGTTGTAGTCACAGCTACCATTAGCATTTAGCTGCTACTATGCATAGCTTACGTAATAGTCTTTTGTGTTGTGTTCCACGAATATAAATGCGTAATGGAAACATAATTAATGATTACGGAACATAACATTTCGAACGGTGTGGTCATATTTGTGACTCCTTTTTGTTGAAGCCTACCCAGACGTCAGAGATGTGTAGCGTCGTCTTTAGCCAAAATCATCACTTAGCTACCTGGTTAAATATTTATGTTTATTAAAAACCTTACTGATGCGTACACGGGATTCGGGAATGAGTTCATGGTGCAATTTTCTACATTTGTTAAAAGAAACTACATAAGCTAGTTTTCATATTGTTTTTGCACGTATTGCTCACATGCACGTATATGTGTATACAATCTCTGTAGGTGTGTCCCTCAAGTCCAGGATGGCACATTGGTTTCACAGAAACCCACTGAAGGCAACAGCGCCCGTGTCTTTTAACTTTTACGGTGTAGCGGGAAGTACCGCTGCTAACAAGATATGCAAGTAAGTCTCGATTTGTCTTCTTGGAATAGACTCACCTTACGGCCTCATTATCGACGACCGCACATTACACAACATTTTTGTTTGATATTCAATGCATCTTCAATACTGGCACTAATATTTTCTTTGCTGCAGTTTTTGCCCAAGCTATTAATCTATCCAATCCAAAATAGTCAGCTCACACGCTGGTCTTGGAATTGTACAAAAAGTAAAATCTTATTAAAATCATATAAACAACGAAAATATAAAACAAGATAGTAACGTTAGTGGCGAGGGAGAGTGTTTCTCAACTATAGGTCATTCACCTATCAGATTCAAAATGCTTTATAAATTCCATTAGGTCAGTTCAGCTTTACGATCTACTCCACCCACGTCAACGGAACAAATAGGTTCAGAGATCAACAGGTTGCAAGGATAGAAGGAAATCAAGGGCATATTTTTACTATACAACATGCTTCGATTTAAGAAATCAGAGACATTGCTCATTTTTTAAAAAATTTGTGTCTCTTTTTCCTGCTCAAATTGACTTGTTTTCTGCTTAAATAAAAATAATTTGATTGCATTATTATGGACAGGGAGCTAGACAGACCACTTTACTTATGTTCCCCAGACTAAATAAAGGGCTCAGTGTTGTAAATCTCTGCTGAGAATCCTAAGTTGCCCTAAGACCCAGTTCAGTCAAAGAATATATGTTTAAAAATATTATATGATAATATCATCAATCAAATTGCCGAATTTTGGGGCTATCCGGCAACAACTTGAAAAAAGTATTTTATTTTCGGAAATGCTGCTTAGACTCACAAAAACAGACAAACTGAGCAGGCCATAAAATGCAATCCCTACAAAGACATGATGGCACCGCTGTGCCATCCTTCATTAGTCTGAATGCTGTAAAGACCAGTGATGAATGTTCGGTTGATTATTCTTTTCTCACCCAGTGATCTGAGGTCCACCAGGGCACGACTGCTCGAGATGTTCACTGATGTCACCTGCAACCCGGAGATTATGAAAAATGCCTCAGATGCTTATTTCTCCCTCTTGCAAGGTACAGTTTTACACGGCAACTACTTCGTTTGTGTTGGGGTTCTTTAAGAACTTTTTCCCCTTCATTATGGCTCCTAAGTGTAAATCAGGCTCTTTTTTAAATTAGTTTTCATGTCCTAGAGCTCTTTTTTTAAATTAGTTTTCATGTCCTAGATTATAATGTTATCTTTACGTTAGCATAGGTGAGTGACATAGGAACATATGTAAAGTATGTGAGTTCCGACTTATGGAAAATCGAGTTGCGCTGATGGAACAGAATTTTCCGACTCAACTCGAGGACCCTCTGTATCTGCATGTACCGCATCACTGCAATACTTTGTACATAACTGAACCATGAGAATCCAGCGCCCAACTAATGTATTTTAACCATAACTATTTTAAATAACATAACATCAGATGTTTTGCTTTTACTAGTACTTATTTAGTTTTTATTTTGCTTTGCAACTAACAACTTGCATTTTGTTTTTCTTTCTTTCTTTTTTTTTTAATTATATTAAAATGACTAGTAGGCTTCATTGCATCCCTTGATGGAACTACACAGGAGAACAAGATGAGATTCATCCAGAATTTCAAGTGGACTGACACCTTACAGGGAAACACACCAAGGTATATATAGATGAAAGCTGTGGACTGTTGGGTCCAAACGTGATTAGAGTTCCTGCGTCAGTCTAGTATTTTACTGATAGTGTTTCTAGGAGTATGCACTTTAATGTTTAAATTAATATATAATAAATAGAAAAAAATAGGTTGTGTCACAGTCTTTGTGAAAGGCAACAGATCAGATTGAGTATATTGTTTTAATATATATTTTCCCATTTTCTTGTCCCAGTGCCCAACAAGATGCAGTTTTTGAACTGGTGTCTATGGCCTTCAATGTTGCCGTCTGGTACACAAAGTTTGCCTCTCGACTTGCAGGCAAAGAAAAGTATGTTTTCATTTTTATATTTTAATTTTAAGTCTTGACTTTGGATTTTTAAGTGAATTTATATGTATGTTGTTTGTGTCCGGTCAACAGCATAACAGAGGTTGAAGCGAAAGAGGTTCATCGGAGCCTGAAGGTTGCTGCTGGAATATTCAAAAACCTCAAGGTAGACCCGATGATCTTCATGTAAAATACTTCAGTTTCAGTGTAATATCCCGGCACTCATACCTCGATTGAGGGGTTGAAATTAAAATGTGTGTCAAATGTTATGTTTAGAATTGTGTTTTATATTCCACTAAAGGGTAGGATTGAGTTTGAATAACTGTTTTATGTTTTGCATACCCTTCTTGCTTTTTTTTTTTCATCCTAAAAGCACCAACTAATTCTGCGCCACATTTTCTACAGGAGGTTCATATCCCTCGTCTGATCACTCCTGCAGAAAAAGGCCGAGATCTGGAACCCAGAGTGATTGACGCTTATATTATTCAGTGTCAGGCAGAAGCCCAGGAAGGTAAAAAAAAAAAAAGTAATGTGTGCTCACGATGTATAATTGTATCTTTAATACTTTTCCTCCGTTTTGTTGAAGCTGCAAATACATTGTTGAAATTCTGTGGTGTTTTCTTTGATCTAAATACAGTGACATTTTTGGTTGCACTGTTTAATATCTGAACTGTTTGCTTTACGTTGTACACATTGGCAGATCTCAGACTTTTTATTGTCTTTGTAATATTTTACTCAGAATAGTGCGACAAATAACTGCGGTCATCTTGTTGCTGTGTAGATAGGAGTAAAAAAAAATGCATTTCCATGTCATTTTATTTATTTATTTATTTATTTTAACAGTGACGATTGCCAGGGCAATTGAACTACAACACAAGGCTACAATCGTTGCAGCGCTGGCATATGAAACGGCAAACTTCTATCAAAAGGCCGGTCAGTATTATTTCATTTCTAGAGAAAAAGGAATGACAGTTCTGTTTGTATACATTTTTTATTATATTATTTTATATTATTTAAAAAACCAGGGTTGTTTACTAAAGGTCATTACAGGTCATTTCCTCTGTTTCCAGATCATACCCTGAACACATTGGACCCAGAGTACAGCAGCAAGTGGAGGAAGTATCTCCAGCTAAAGCAGCTCTTCTACATGGCCTATGTGAGTTCTTGTGGATTCCGGTGCAATTACCAATCCTTTGTGATGCATTTAGGGACCAAACTAACAGGACCTGTTAGTTTTGGTCCCTAAATGCACCCTGTTAAGGCTTGTCAGCTTGTGTTTCAGACTAATGCGGTTCACACCATCCTTAATATTGACTCAATTATTAGACACGTCATTAGTGCTTCTCAGCACGGGAGTGTGAGAATTCTACATGTGCTTTGCAGGCCTACTGCTTTTATGGGAAGACACTGCTTGCAAGCGACAAGTGTGGAGAGGCGATACGATCCCTCCAGGAAGCAGAAAAATGTACGTATGCGTGGAAATTCATTACTTTCTCACATTCGCAGCACAGGTGTTTCCCGTGCGTGTATTTCCTGTTTCATTTTGACCTAGATTCTGTTGGCAACAGCTTACAGCTCTCTCTGCTGACATCTTTGTTTAGGTTACTCGGCCTCAGAGGCTTTGTGTAAAGAGTATCGACAGACCAAAGGGCCAGGCACCACAGCCAAACCGTCAGAGCAGATGTTCTTCCTCAGACTGGGCAGCGTCATTAAAACCACACTGGAGAGGTGCCAGTCGGAGAATGGATTCATGTAAGTCGGTCAAGAACACACACACACACACACACGTGCACAAACATATATACTTCAGATGTGGTCAACTAAATCGGTGGTTCTGAAACTTTTTTATAATGCAAACCGCTTGTCACCTCTCATCTACCACCACTGTGACCGACGTTTAAATCAAGCGGCTGCGGTCTGACCCTGGTCGGCTAAGTACAGTAAGACACACTGACTGACGCAACTGGCAAGAAATTGAACTCCTTAAAACCTTATTGCCCCCTGGTGGCTGCTGGCCAAAAAAACTGTACAAATAATTTTTTTTTCTTTCTTTTAACTAAACATTTTTTATAGTGACTTGCATATATTTTATATATATATATATATATTTTTATATGTAGCTTTTTTTTAAGTTTAAGTTCTTTTAAAGTTATGAAAGCAAATACTGTACTCACTAACTACACATAGAATGAAGTAAAGCGTTTACATAGACTCTCTGACGTCTTGTTCGGCTGAATGTTTGGCTTGACGTTTGAACTCCCAAATATTTTTTTTTACAGATACTTCCACAAGGTCCCAGTGGAGGCACCAGTGCTGGAGTTAAAGGCAGATTACGGCCTGGCTGAGCCAATCCCGTTTGAGCTGCCTTCTCTGAGTGAGCAGTGCACTGCGGAGGTTTACGCTACCTTTGACCTGACCAAGGGAGCTAAGAATGACAAGGTGCTTCAGCGCAACAAAGGCTAGATGGCAGCAAACGCTGCAGCAAATGAACACATGCCTACGGAATAATATTATATTTTTTATATATATATTTTTTTTTTTTATATAATTCATAGGCTAAGCCCAAGGAGGAGGAGGTGAAACCCGTGAAGGAGCCAGATTTGAAGCCTCAGAAAGACACAGGCTGCACCATCTCCTAAACACTCGCACCGATTTCACTCTCGGCCCCATGCTTCGTCGTCGCCATCCGAATGTTATGATGGAATCCGTATTTCCATCCACGTGCATCTTCATAGGTTTATGTATTTTAGAGGGTTACATAATGTTTTACATCACCACCAAGCAGTGGGCAGTATTTGCTGAAAACGTACGTCGTTGCAGTTGAACCGGACACATTACACGTCAATCTACGAAACCCCGACCCTGTAAAAGCCTTAAGACCAGCGCGGTTCTGTCGGTGGTGCCTTTCGGTCGCAGGGTGAACCCGTTCAAACCGTCTTCTATTGAGACGGTCTGGGATTTGAACCTGTGATGCTCTGGCCTTTTGAACACAAAAAAAAAACAAACAAACATTGAAACTGTTAAACAGATGTAATTGTAGAGGGACAAAAAGACGCAGCTTTATGTGTCACCGTACGTATACTATGTACAAACAACAACATTCGCCCTCTGTGTTTAATCCATCAAATGCCTAATAAGAAGAGCATAACGAAAGGGATAGAATTATGGAATAATGTACACAGGTAGAATTTTAATTTTTACCGTCAGCCTGCCGTGGAATATTTATCCCAATAATGAAAGATGGGGATTCATTGAAAACGTCCTAAAATATTACATGAACAAGACTACACGCCTTATCGCTGGTGCCAGTTTATTATAGCAGTAGCATTTTAAAATCACAAAAACCTTATCTAGAGCACAAGTCATGTGTACTGTAGTTTATTTGTACATTAGATTTTTCTTTACAACGTTATTCTGGGATGTTATTTATCTTGTAAATTTTCCTTTTTGTCCGACAGACATGGCTTTGATGGTAACATTTAACACTGAACGTTCCGGTAAAACTTTTAATTTGAATTATATACATTAGGCACCCTAACCCTAATTAGATGTCAAGTGGGCCAGACCGGTACAATTATAAGATAATTATATATAAATAACAATAAGTCCATTATAAGATAATGATATATAAATAACAATAAGTCCATGTTTTTCGTATTAGAAAATCCTCATATTTAATGAAATATTTTACAATACATCATGGCGAGGAAGTGTGTCTGCTTTTTTTACTTTTAAAATTAATCAAGCGGGCCGGATTGAACTTCCTAGTGGGCCGGTTTTGGTCCACGGACCATATGTTGTACGCCTGGAGCAGGAGTAGGTGTCAATAGGAGAATAAGGGTATTAACCAAAGGTGTTTTATTAGGACTTTAGCAGATGCTAAATGTAAAGGGTGAACTTTCAGAAGCGCTCGTGTGTAAACAAGATCGATTTATACGAAGGATTTAACCGTCGTGACAGGCGCTCCAGAGTACACTCCAATCTTCTAAAACAAACGAAGGCTTCATTGAGCAAATACAGAAAAGACATGCGACACCACCCGTCGATCAAGTACTACTTTAGTACCTAGACAGTAGTTGATTACCAAAAGGAAGATAGTTTCATAATGGGACCCTTCACTTTCAAACATATGAATGCGCTTCTAGGTTGCCGTTTTGTTAGATTACCCTACAGGAACTTGTAAAAACTGTAATATACACACATGTACTTTATCATGTCCTGACACATATACATATAAGTATGTTTACCCGGAGCTGAACTAGCTGCTTTTGTTGATTCACCAAGTTTAAATTCTATTCTATACATTTCTTTACTTGTGCAGGCAATCTGGTCGTTGAAGCTCTTCACTAATGTCGTGATTTAGTTTAAGTTGCTGTGTAGGTTTGTGACAGTTGAAAAGTGGATTTCATTGAGAGACATCAATCAAGTTTTAGCTTCAAGTGTTCATCACGACGGCATAACCATCGTCAGTCAGTCTGTAGACGAGTCATTATTCACTGTCTGTCATGTACAATGTGTATTAAATGGTAATCAATCGTTGGGTTTAAGTCGTTCTTCTACGTCTGATGTCATTTGCACAACATGGTACAAAACGTCCAATCGCGTGGTGATACGTAAGAGGTGTTAATACTCTGGAAAGTACACGAAGTACATGCTAACTAGATACAACATTGATTTGTATTATGCGGAAATAAGGCACATTCTGAAGTCGAACTTCATCACTTTGGAACTGAAATTTGATAGGTGGAAAAAAAAATGAATGCAATTATTGGTTGTTATGGTAGATGATGGTGTATCATAATATGTGTGTATTTGGTCATTGATATTACCATATATGTACTGTACTAAAGTACGAATTGTCAACATTGATTTTTCCTCTCTCTGAAACCAAGGAAAATATGTGTATCATAATATGTGTGTATTTGGTCATTGATATTACCATATATGTACTGTACTAAAGTAGGTTCGGGTGTAAAATATTTTTTACGAGTGTGAAAAGGAGGGTTCGGGCAAAAAATATTTTTTACGAGTGTGAAAAGGATGAATAATTTATTTGAAGACTTTTTACTTTTTTTTTAAATTTTTTTTTAAATATATGTAAACACTGTACCTTACTGAAAATTCCAAACAGAAAAAAATATGTAGCCCATACTGTATATTTATCCTTATATTTTTGGGTTTGTGTTTTCCATTTATTAATTAAGAATTGCTAATGTAAAGTTTTTTTATTATTATTATTTACAATCTATTATAATCCCTCTAAAATCTTTTACTGCTTTAACTGCAGTTCCCGCCCCTTTAAAACAAAAATGAAACCATTACTGCGGTTCGTCTGTATCTTCCTGACTGTGGTGAGGTTTCACAGTGTATTTGTGTCTCAAGTTTCAGGACTAACCCTGTATCCTGTAGTTGTTTATCTTTTTTTTTTATGTACACAAGCTGAGTCAGCCTGGACTGACAGACTGCAACTGTGACGTGACGGAGAGGCGCCAAGGAAAGTCTGTTGAAGAATGATCCGTGGCCATCAGGAAGTAAGTGTTCTAACGGTGAATGAACGAGGTGTTAGAACAGACTTTGTTGGTATGTTAAACAAATGTGGTGAAAAATGTGTTCGCTCTTTCAGGTAATGTGCAGCCAGGAAACAGAGTTCACTGGCTGTGCTCTGGCCAAACAGAAGAAAGTTATCTACTTCACCAGTGGTGAAACTATGGAGGAGGACAGCGAGGAGGAGAAGGAGGAGGAGGAGGACGAAGAGGGAGAGGAGGAGCACAAGTCAAACACACCTCCCTTTAGTGAACCAGCAGAGAAGGTAAGTCTGATTGTCAAACGCACAAAAGTGGCCGTTTAATGACATGATGTTGAGGGACAGGAAGTGGACGTGCTTCTGCTTCTGCTTTACAAGAACTTTCACAATTTTTAAAGTTCCTGTTTTCCTCTAATTTGTATTGCAGAAATGATAGCTCAAAACTCCCTGTTTTGGAGTTAAACTTTAACTGACCATCTCCACAGGAAGTTTGCCATTTGAAAGGCTGTGGCTTTTTGTCTGTTGTTATCAGCACAGTGCTCCTCTTCCTGGTGGCCCTTTTTTTTTTTTTTTGTTTGTTTGTTTGTTTGTTTTTTTAAGGCAGGATTCAAATGTCTATTTCAAGTGTTTCAAGTCTTGGGTTCCATTGGATGGCAAACAAATGCTGCACTACGTGCGTTGCTCTAAGCAAATGTCTACTTTACTTATCAGGAACACTGGATTTGAATTCAACCAACTAACTCAGTGAGGAGTTGCACAACTCTACCTTTTTTTTTTTTGCATTTGAGTATAACTATTTTAATTTTATCTACTTGCCGATATCGATATCAGTGCGGACACGAAGCATCCAGTTAAGAAAAGGATATTCTATATCTAAACGTAATATGAATGAAAATATTCTTAAACAGAATTAAACTTTCTGCCGAACAGAAAGCGTGCAGAGCTTTTACACCAGGGGTGTTTAAACTCATTTCCACCAGGGGGCCACATCAGCAAAACAGTTCCCCTTGAAGGGCCCATTGTAAATGGAAGACTGTATAAATCAGGGGTCCCCAACCCCTGGTCCGCAGGCCAGTACCAGTCCATAGGTCATTTGTTACCGGTACAAACAGAATAGAGTCTAAAAGATGTTTTATTTTGAAAATTTAAGGTAACGTGGTACTGGCTGACCATTACTTGGAACAAAAAAGGAATAGATGTAACTAATCCGTAACAGACTATTACATGTTTCTGCAATTGATTATTATTTATTCAGGCTACAAGTATTGTTCAGTGCTGTGTAACAAACACACATTGTTGGTTAAATAACGTACCGTAAATAGGTAACTTGGTGGTGCGTAATCTGTTTACAGTGCCGTTAAACCTTTTCTAGCAAGGTCTTGTTCTCGTTCCTCCTTTCAGACAAGGTTCTCCTTCAGGAAGCTGGCCTTTCTCGTCGGGAGGATTTCACTGCTGAGTATGTAAAATTACTGTAAAACCACTACATAAACAGTGTCTGTGAGTCAACAGTAAATTTGTTTTGCAATCTGATTTCCTGTTTACTTTTCTGTTTCCAATATTAGCCTGTGATTTTCTTGGAGAGAGACTCGCTAACGTATTTGGACTGGACGCGGCCAAATACCAATATGCAATAGATCAACACGAGCGTGACCGCAGGGTAAGAATGGCATTGACCCATTGTGTTGTATTGATTGTAACCCATTTTCTAAGCGTGAAAAGGATGATTTTATCCGTATCACTTAGACACCAAAAAGTCAAGCTAAGGGTGACACGACGAAAGCGCGTGGAGAGATGATCCAGCTCTCTGATCGATTGGAGAAAGGTCAATACGGAGCTACGGGGACGGCAAACCCTTGTGAGCCACAGGGGAGCTGTGAAGACGAGCCTACGTCCAGAAAAGATGGCTACCACAACAGAGGTTATCAAGCAGACGAGGATAGCTTAAAATAAACCATGACCAGAAAAAAACAAAAAAAAAAATTCTGAACTGTTTTCCGGAGAAAGATCGAGATAATATCGAAGTATCACTTTGATAAGTGTCTATTTCAGGTAAGGACAGTAAAACTGTGAAGAACCACTCAATTTGACGGCGGAGTCTTGTTGTTGTCCACATGTTACCTAGCTTGTTTTTATTATCATGCTATTCCTAATAAATCTCTCTCATCGATATTCCCTTCATTTAAATGTATTGAGATTTTATATTTATTATATATTTTTTAGTCACAAACTATCGCGCAAGTCAATAGACAATATTCGGAAACCCTCGATGCGAGACGACCCCCCAAAAAATTCCTTGCGACACACCTGAGGGTCGCGACCCAATCTTTGGGAAACAATGTTATACAGTACATCAATCAAAATATTATTATTATTGTTGTTGTTGTTGTAATTATTATTATTTGTATTATTATAATTAGTAGTAGTAGTGGTAGCAGTAGTAGTAGGAGTACTAGTATAGTTACTGTGAGTGTTGTCGTTGCTGCTGCTGTTTTGGTTGTTGTTGTCATATTTTTGGATTCATACTTACTGGTCGTTTCTCACACACACGTTAGTGTAAAAGTTGAGATGCACATGTAAAAAAAAAAACCCACTTCTGTTGACAACAGTCAAAGTCCTTTAGTTACTCTTTATGGTTGGCATAAACCTCAACAAGGGCCAAAGATCATGATCCTTAAGAGTGTGCAGGTTTAAACCAAGGCAGCGACATCAGCCCTGCTACATTCAAGATTCAAGATGAAGGATCACATGGTATTGCTGTTTGGACTTGTAGCTTTGGCCAATGCTGTAAGTATTAACGGTTATGAAGTTATTAACCTTGCAGATTAACAATGTTTCTGTTAACTTTCTGACGATTTATGACCACTGTTGTCTTTTTCTGCAGGTTCAAGTTCATCCCAGGCTGTATGGTATGTGTATTTTGGATTTAATAAAGAGATAAAAAAAATGTTGCATAATGTTCTTAAAAATAATACAGAGTGATATATGTGTGTATTTTACAGAGGTATATGAGAATGGTGAGGACGAAAATCCAATCTTAAACCTGGGTGAGTTTTAATACGAATGCAGAAGATTGATGTTCTTTTACTTGTTGCGTTTGCAAGAAAGCTGTTTTTGTCTTAGGTTCAAAGGCTAACCTGTTTGAAGGGGATATTCTTTTGCCGGTATGTCAATTATTTATTATTATTATTATTACTGCTGATTGTCTTTCTATAGCCTTTAATTGATTTATGTTTTTTTTTTAAATCATCATTTTATGCTACAGGAAGGAAGAAATGCCCTGATTGACCACAAATACAGATGGAAATTTCCAATTCCTTACATCCTGGGCGATGACTTGGGTGAGTTTTTCAAATTCTTCTTAAAGTTTAATTTACTTTACTGAATTTTTTTTTACCTAAAGCAAGTTTGATATGCAGAGCCGAGAAAGGTGAGGTAAATGTTTAACAGCTATACCGTGAAGATAGGGAGAAAGTTTGTTTGGACTGGCAGAGAGATTTCCATCAGTGACCAGTCAAGAGAGAGTACTGTAGTTTTTTTTTCACCTTTAAAGTGTAAAATGATGTCTACGATGAGGTACTTTGTGAGGTGTGCAGTCCGATTGACAGATGGGTTTAAATTAAACCGTTGTTCATGTTGGCAGAAACTATGGTAATTAGTCAATGGATTAGGACGTACGTTTAGAGAGAATGGATAGATGAAGGTCTAACATGCCATAATTAATTATTAAACTTTCACTTTTCAGATTTGAACGCGAAGGGATGTGTCCACCAGGCCTTCGAAATGTATCGCCTCAAGTCTTGCATCGACTTCAAACCTTATGAAGGAGAGAAGACTTATATCAAGTTTGTAAAGAGAAATGGGTATGACGTCAGCTTCATGTTTTATCGCGAACTTTAAAAAATACGAGAACATTTTATTGGAAGTTGGTTTGTGGAAACTTAAGTATACGTAGAAAAATTCTTATAGACCGACTTAAAAGAAAATGTAATATAAAGATAAAACAAACAAACCCAAACATGACATAGCAAGTATTTTACTTTTTTACTTTAAATGTATATATGTATACATATATGTAGATATACATACATATATAAATATATATATATACATATATGTATATATATGTGTATATATGTATATTTGTATTCATATATATGTGTATATATACAGACAAACACAGGGTTGTCACAAACGTGTTAATATGCAGTAGTCGTAGAAGTAGTACTACTAATCCAATCAATTTTGCATATTCTAGGTGCTTCTCCAGCGTCGGTGTCCAGGAGAATGGTCAAATTCTGTCGTTAGGATCAGGCTGTGACCACAAGGCCGTGATAGAACACGAGCTGCTGCACGCCGTGGGATTTTATCACGAACAGTCTCGCACAGACAGAGACGACTATGTTGACATCTGGCTCGACCAGGTCACACCAGGTACGCTTTCACGTTTCGTTCATGTTCGATGTAAAAACTAAAAACCAAAAGAAGAAAACGAAAATCCGGAATGCATCTGTACTACGGCTGAAACTAAATGCATTTATAATTTCCCGCAGGCCTTGAACACAACTTTAACAAATACAACGACGACTATATAACTGATCAAAACACGGCGTACGACTACGAGTCCATCATGCATTACCGACCCTTCTCTTTTAATAAGAATGAATCCGTCCCTACTATCACCACCAAAATCCCAGAGTTCTACAACATCATTGGCCAGTACCTTGACTTCAGCAAGATGGACGTCTTTAGACTCAATCGGATGTACAACTGCTGTATGTTCCAGTAAAAGAACTCTACTTTTTCCAGGATTCTCTAATTATTTTAAAAAGTTTTGGAAACATTCTGTATTTCCTATATTTCTCAGCCGGCCCTCTCACCCTGCTGGACCAGTGTGCATTCGAGTTTGCCAGTATCTGTGGAATGATCCAGGCCTCCACTGACGACGCCGACTGGGTTCATACCAAAAGCACGGTCGGGGATGAAGATCACACACTCCTAGGAAGGTGCAGAGGTCAGAGCTGAGGTCAACTCCTCCTTAGCCTTGATTCATGATGACATTCGTTAAAAAAATAATAATAATTCTTGTCATTGTCTCACTTTGTCTGACTTTATAGACAGTGGACACTTTATGCACTTCAGCACAAACACCGGGAAACCTATGGAGTCGGCGTTGCTCGAATCCCGAATCCTGTACCCTAAGAGAGAGTTCCAGTGTCTTCAGTTCTTCTACAAAATGACCGGTAACCCCAAGGACAGGCTGGTGATCTGGGTCAAGATGGACGACAGCACGGGAACTGTCCGAAAAATGAAGAAAATACACACTATATATGGTACGTATGACACTGAGGTGGGTTCGTGTTTACACTGAGAGATTAGAAGATTAAAAAAATAAATAAATAAAATGTATAAAAAATACTGTATATTTTTGCTAGCTATCAAGCTGCTCCATTCCTCGAGTTAGCATGTAGCTAGCTAGTGCATGTTTGCTAATAATTTTCTTATGCCAAAATAATATAATAATTATTTAATAGTGACTAAAAGTAAAACTTTCTAAATGCAGGAGAACTTCTTGACAGAGAAAAAAAAATTCTGGTTGAAAGGTTGAAGCACAGAGTGAATCTTCAGCAGAGAGTCAATCAAATATTAGCATTAGCATCACAATATGTTTCCTTTTGTGTCTCTGCGTCGTCCAGCTGATTCTGACCACACGTGGAAGATCGCCCACGTCCCAATGGAAGTTGGGGTAAAATTCCGCTACGCTTTTCAAGCTGTGCGTGCCGACCCCTCGGCCTCGGCCGGTGGCATCTACATTGACGACATCAGTCTGACAGAGACACTTTGCCCCGGTGCTGTGTGGAGAATCCAGAACTTTTCCAAACTAATGGAGACAAGCGAGCGGGGGGCAATGATCAACAGCCCCCGCTTTTACAGCCCCGAAGGCTACGCCTACGGTGTCACCATCGTTCCCCTGTCGTCTTACACTGACTACACTGGGAACTACACTGGACTCTATTTCCACCTGGCCAGCGGAGAGAACGATGCTGTGATGCAGTGGCCAGCCGTGAACAGACAGGCCACCGTGGTGGTGATGGATCAGGACCCAGACATTAAGCTGAGGATGTCGACTGCTCGCAGCCTTACCACTGATTTGAGAAAAAGTAAGTTCCTCTCCCGGTTACACCCACCGGATTTATTGCCAAAGCGTAACGTCCTACACAGAAAGTACAAAAATAGCACTTTACAAAAATGTCACAAAAAGTATTTGTAATGAAATATAAGGAGCTTCTAGTTTAAATTTACTAACAGTTCACTTACTGACCCTGTTTAGTTGAAAACAATGCTAATATACTTATGTAAATTAAAGAAAAGCACACATTCAGATCTTCTTGAATAGTTTATATATATAATAATAATATATATATTTATAATCAAACATATAAAATAATATATATTATATAATACTAATATATACACATACTGTATATAATTTATAGTTTATATAATGTAAATATATATAGAAATAAATGTAAATATAAAATATTATTTTAATAGGAGAGCAGCTTACAAAAATTGTAAATAAATTCTACATAAATAATCTTCAGATTAAAGTGAAATTAAATTTTTTTTTTCTTAGCACTGTACATCTGCAGTATTCATCAAGTTCATCAAAGGAGAAAATAATGAAAATATTTTAAAAAATTGATAAATTAAATTGAAATTGAAAACTGTCAACATCCCAGTTTGATTTAGAAAATCTGTGGTAAAGAAGATAAATTAAATTGAAATTTAAAACTGTCAACATCCCAATTTGATTTAGAAAATCTGTGGTAAAGAAAAAAAAGATCAAGCGCTTCATTTTCTACCTTGCAGCAGAAGATGACAAATATTTTTGGGATAATCCCTCCGAGCTAGGGGGTGCTCTTGACCCTTCTTGCCAATGCTACAGAGGTCCGAGATGGGGCTGGAGAAACATGGTCAAGCACTTTGACCTCCGACGGCGCAATTACCTGAAAAATGATGACCTAATCATCTTAATCAGCTTCGAAGGTTTGTCACCAGTCGTAGCATAAATCATTAAAAATTCTGTTATAAATACTAAATGAATGTTTATTATTTCCTTGTTTTTTACAGATATAACATCACTGGTTAACACAGAGGTCCCCATTGTTCCCAACGAGTGATGTCAGCCCAGCTTTTAATATGTAGGTCAGAGAATTTCTTTTTTTTCCCCTATAGTCTTTGTGAATTTTATATCACGCTTTTATTGTTTCTCAGATTCAAAAACAGATCCACTGTCAGGACCTGGATGATGAGAGAAGACTGAGGATGAAGACATTTTCTAATTTAAAAAAAAATTAACACAAAAATATAAATATAAATCTTATTGATTGGAAGAAAAAAAAACACATTGTTCTTTGTCAGTGAACCACGATTTAAAATAATTATGTTTAAATATGTATTTTTGGACCTAAATCTATAACATCAAACCTTGTCAATCACATCTAAAAATCCTTCCTTTAATAAATACTTTCCTAAACCTCACACCATCCAAAATATACATCAGTGATCATTCAACTAGCGGTACGCGGGCCGATTTCAGTCCATCGAACAGTCCAATCCGGTCCGCGACTGGATTCCAAAATTGTCAGAAATGTTGTGTGGTCCCCACTATTTAAAAATATATAAAAATACCAACAACTAATACCTATCAGTAATAACCCACCATTTAGGAAAAACGATGGCTCTCTGACAAATATAACATTGAGCAAGACAAGACAGGATGAGATCAATAACATAAAAACGAAAAAAATAAATAAAGAGATTTAGCCCTAGAGGGAGAAGCCGAAATAAGAAGAAGTCTTGAGGGAGTGCTCTGCACTTGTAAGGAGATCAGTGGTCATCCAACCAGAGGGTTGTGGGTCAAATTCCAGTCTCCGTTAGTTAATATACAGTACAAGACCTAAGCTCTTCCAATAGCTGAAAGGACACATTTGAGTGGTGTTTTTTTTTCTTCTGCTGACCACATTCAAATAAATGTTTATAACATACATGTTATAATGGCAAAATAATTCTATAATATAAAAAATCAGACAATAATTTTATCTGATATGCGTTATCTTGAACATGAAAAAAAATGGGTTCATCAGCCTTAGATAGTCACCGTCTTATCAGGAGGATGAGCACAAACAAACCTGGACTTTAAACCTGTTCTTTAAGATACAATCAAAAGGAAGACTTCAGAAGAGAGAAAACAATGTGTAATTAAACCTGACCATAAATACAGATCTAACTTTATTTTATTATCATTTATATATATATATGTGCAATAAAAACACACGCAAATCTATATATAAAACAAAATGCGGATATTAAATCAGTAGAGATCACTGTAAAAACCACTATCAATAAGAAATAAAACAATAAAGCAGTCACCCCCCCTCGTAGTGCACACCAATAAAGTAGCACAACAGTTTCACTGGCCATAAAGGGCTGACGTTCCATCCTCATCAACAGCCCGAGGCTGAGCGTGTGTTAAAATGTTGTTACTTATTAAACACAACAATCCCGATCAAAGTTCCTCGGCTGCAGTCGCTGCTGTCTTGGCGGACATGTTGACAGCGGCATCGGGGGGGACGCGTTGATCTGTAGAACTTCAAATGGCCTCCGGGGACAAACTGGGGGCGACTGCCGTGCTGATCGGCCTATTGGCCACACTGACGGTAGAGAATCTTTAAAAATTAAACATTAAGAATTTATTTTTCGAATTTTTTTTTTTTGCAAGTGTACTAATACTGTCTCGTATTTCTGTTTTGGTGCAACAGGTACAAGCTTTTCCAACATTCAATGGTTGGTTGGATTCACATTTTTTGATTAAAAAAAAAAACATGAAAAAAGATGTTTTCCGTGCTTTGACCAACGTGTGTCCACAGGAGATAGTGCTGATGCGGGAGAACTTAGGGACGACATCCCTGACATAAACAGAGGTACTACATTTAAATCCTGTCTGTATTAATGAATAATTTAAAAGGGCATGTATGTATATTTACATCCATCTAATTTTATTTATTTTTTACTCTTGTTCAAATATTAGGTTTAAACCACTTGTTTGAAGGAGACATTGCAGGGAATGTAAGTACAGTGAACCACACGCTGTGTGCTACAAACTCTTTCTAAAGCACATCATTAGCCTTATTTGTATTGGAACTACGTTAAGTGCATGTCCCTATGGAAATAAAAGTATTTTCTGTTCTGTTCTTTAGCCAAGAAGAAATGCAATCCTTGACCAAACAAGTAGATGGAAGTTCCCCATCCCATATATCTTGAACGATACTTTAGGTACAGTCGACACATTTTATAACTAAGACCAAAGATAAGACAACACTGATTAGAATTCTCTGTGTTTCTGTAGAACTGAACGCTAAAGGTGTGATCCTTCAGGCGTTTGAGGAATACCGCCTGAGGTCCTGTGTTGATTTCAAACCATATGAGGGAGAGTCGAGCTACATCATCTTCAAAAAGCTGTCTGGGTGAGAGAGCTGCAGGATGACCAGGGAAATCTCTGCCTTCACTGTGAAGGAATCGAACATGGGGGTACTCTGTGCCTTCACTGTGAAGGAATCGAACATGACGGGAGGAATGACGATTTTTCTTCATTTTCATTCAGATGCTGGTCATATGTTGGTGATTACAAGGTGGGACAGGAATTGTCCATCGGAGCACGATGTGACACCAAAGCCATCGTGGAGCACGAGCTCCTCCACGCTCTGGGTTTTTACCACGAGCAGTCTCGGTCAGACAGGGACAACTACGTGAAGATCTGGTGGGACCAGATCGAAGACGGTGGGTTCAAATCAAGGCATCTTTGTTTGAGCATAATGGAGAAGAAAAAAAAAACATAAATACGTGCCCTCTAGTGGCTGTCAGTGTGAATATAAACATGTGAAATTATAAATTTTAATATACAGTATAAGTGTGAAAAAGTATAAGTAAAAGTGTGTATTATAGTCTGGAAAATACAGTACTTTATTTTGAAAACATGAAAAAATTTAAAACAGACTGTACCACAAGAGGGAGCCAAAGTATGACCAGTTTAAAAATCATTGGTCTATTGTGGTTTGTTATGATTAAGCAACTGTACTGAACTACCTTTAGTAGTTGACATAATAACTGTAATATCTGTGTATTGAAGTACAACTACTCCTCCTCACAGGTAAGGAGCACAACTTCAACAAGTACGAGGACGACTTCATAACTGATCTGAACACGGCCTATGACTATGAGTCCGTCATGCACTACAGGCCAAAGTCTTTCAACAAGAATGAGAGCATCCCCACAATCACCACCACCATACCGGAGTTCAATGACATCATTGGTCAGAGACTGGACTTCAGTGCTGTGGACATCACCAGGCTCAATCGCATGTACAACTGTGGTAAGTGATGTCATCAAATGTCAACCGTTATTGTTGAAAATCATACAGTATGATGTGAAATCAATACCTAAAGCATTACGTTTTACTTAATTAGTGTGAAAACTATTAATTATTCACTGCAATTAGTAGTAATATTTCCCCCCTATAGGGCACCAGATTACTACAAAAACATTTTTTTAAAGCTTAGCATTCTTGAAATTCTATTTTGTCTTTCTTCAATTCCTGCCTTGAATCAGTCTTGTGTTCAACTAAACAGGTCAATCATTTTATGATGTGTACATTGTGAGTAAATTGAAATTGGAGATCTGTACATAGATGAATAGATTCAATTTGAAACTCTTTGTTACATTATTTAACGATTAATAAAACATTCAATTTTTATTTTTTACATTAAAACCTTTTATGAGACAAATACGTTTCTAAGACTTAATGTTGGTGTCTAGTGAACTAAAAATGTTTGTTACCAGCCAACACACACACTCTTCTGGACCAGTGCTCCTTTGAGTTGATCAACATCTGTGGGATGATCCAGAATGAGAACGACAACGCAGACTGGGTGCAAGTACTGAGTAATCCTGCGGAACCTGACAATACCCTGGGGGGGCGCTGCAGAGGTGAGACTCCATCTCTGACATAAATGAATCAAATGTTAATCATTAATTATAACAGGTAAACGTAGCATAATTGTAAATTCAAATGAAATAAACCTTTATTCCTCTGTAGCACCTTTTTTAAATTAACATTTTAAAGTCAAATATAAGCATGTTTTTAAACATTTACAGCACATCGTACACCTCTTTTTTTTTTTTTAGATTCTGGATATTTCATGAAATTTGACACATCTTCCGGTGCGGTCGGGAAAAGTGCCTTGCTGGAGTCACGTATTCTTTATCCCAAAAGAGACGAACAGTGCCTGGAGTTTTTCTACAAGATGAGCGGAGCTGCTGGGGACAAACTGGTGGTATGGATAAGGGCTGATGATGGAACAGGGACTGTGCGTCATGTCAGGAAAATTCACACCATCACTGGTAATTCACCTTTTCACATGCTAATATGTATATATTTTTCCCCATTTTACTCATCCTAATGTCTGCTTTTCAGGCGATGGAGATAATGCTTGGAAAATAGTTCACGTCCCTCTAAAGATGACCAAAAAGTTCCGGTACTTCTTCCAAGGCATCAGAGTATCAGCTAGTTCTTCGGGAGCCATCTTACTTGATGACATCACCCTCAGAGAGGCCAGTTGCCCGAATGCCGTCTGGCAAATCCCCAATTTCACTGCGCTCCTAGCTTCTACAGCTCCTGGCGTTGCGCTCAAAAGCCGGTGCTTCTACAACTCTGAGGGTTACTCCTACAGTATCGGTGTTTACCCCAATGGAAGGAATAAAACATATGAGGACTATGTTGGCTTGACCTTTCACCTCTGCAGTGGGGAAAATGACGCTGTGTTGCAGTGGCCAGCTGAGAACCGGCAGGTGACCGTGGTAACCATGGATCAAGACCCGGATGTTAAACTTCGGATGTCTAATACAAGAAGCTTCACCACTGGTAGGGCTGTTTGGTTTAATGCCTGGTTCTTTGGGTCATACAATTTGTACGCTAACCTCCACCCTGGGGGTAGAAATGTAGAAGTAGATGTGAGCTATACGGTTAACAGCCTAAGTCACAAACCTCCCAAGTCAATAGACATTATTTGTAAACTCCTGGGAAACATTATGCGAGATGACCCAAAAAAAAACCCTCTTGCGACCCACCTGAGGGTCGCGACCCAGTCTTTGGGAAACTGTTAACATCAGTCAAGGTCAGAGGTCCCCTAACTTTTTTGTACTGCAGACCAGTAGTACTGCACCATAATTGAAGGGTCATTACCTTTTTAAAATAAAACATCTTTTAGATTTTATTCTGTTAACATCAGTCTGAATGACCTGTTGTTTTGGAACATTCCCAGATTATCTTCTAATGAAAATAGTACAGGGATATGACTGGATTATTTTTGAATGAAGTAAATTAGTAAAAGTGAAGTACATTTTTTCACTGTGTCCCACTGCGACCTGATACCATAGACCTATGGACCGGCACCGGTCCCTGAACCAGGGGTTGGGGACTCCTGGTATAGGCTACATGTGGCCCTTTTTGCACCTGGGGTGCTTGTAATATCCACATGCTAAGGTCTTACTGTACATTGTTATGTTAACTGAGTTCCTCTGCAGCCTGTCAATAAGCCAATACAGTTCTTACACATTCACTTCAGTTGTGATTCATATTGACTTATCTTCTCGTTCTAAGACAGTTCCACTCGCTGGAACAAACCCACGAATGACTCAGGAGCAACGTGGGACGAGAGCTGTCGGTGCTACCGTACTTCAGACTACGGCTGGAATACCTTCATCTCCCACACACAACTGCACAAGAGAAGTTTCCTCAAGAACAACGACCTCATAATCACTGCAGACTTCAATGGTAAAGCCCAGGCTTCTCTATTGTTCGTGTCGCTGCAAAAATACTACACAACACGTCAAAGAAGCTCTTTTAAATTTCATAGCCTGTTGTTTTGATAGATTTAACACACCTGATCAAGACTGAGGTGCCCGTTAAAACAGCCGCTCCTAAGGCTGACATCAAGCATGAGGAGCTAGTCGGTGAGACGGAAGTTAAGCCACTGGCTGTGAAACACAGAGAAGCCCGTGGAGTTGACCCCTGTCACCCCAACCCCTGCTTAAATGGAGGCGTGTGTGTGGAGAGAGAAGGAAAAGCCTCCTGCAGGTCTGTGTGTTTGAGTGTGTCTATTAATGATGATAATAATGATAATGATTTATTCATCGACTTTACTAAAAGGAAGAATGCTAATGCCATAAGTCGCACCAGCCACAAAAAGCATAATGAAGAAAAAAACATATCAATTGGTCCCTATAGTATAAGTAGCATATATAATAATAATTATAATAATTAATAGCCCTCTAGTGGTTGTCAGTGGGAAAACATGTACATTTTCAGTCGTACACGAGTAGCAGATACTGGTACACGAGCCTAATACACGAGTAGCAGATACAGGTACACGAGCCTGGAGTGCCCTCTAGTTGTTGTCTGTGTGATTATAACAAACATGTAAAATTATATATTTTAAATTTTTAAGTCGCACCTGAGCACAAGTATAAGTATAAGTCGCAAACCCAGCCAAAGGATAAAACAACTTTCGACTTATAGTCCGACTTATGTTCCGGAAAATACGGTATGCAAGTCCGAATTAGCTAACTGTACTGTTGTCATAAGTCACGTTTATAGCATTGTTACTCGAAGAACCAAGGTAATGTAAGCAATTGGTCTCATGAAGTTTGTTTGATCAATCAGACTCTAGTTTGCCGTACTCAGTATCCTATTTTTTTTTCTGCTTTTTTAGATGTGCTACGACCCAGACAACCTACTATTCTGGCAAAACATGTGAGGAACTCAAGACAGACAAAGGCATCCTGGGAGCTCTGATTGGAGGTGCAGCTACGACTGTAGTTCTGACCCTCGCCGTCTTGATTGTCATCAAGAGAGTTAACCACAACAGACGTTAGAGCAGAGGTACAGAACCCTTTCTCAGACTAGGATCCACAATAATGATGAAATAAAATGATATAACTCACATTACAACAATATGAACTCAATTAAAAAATAAAACAGTAACACTTTAGCTTACTAAAGCAGACAGTCCACCACAGATGTGTTTCCTATGTCCACTCCAAAAATATGTTTTGGTTCAATAATACTACAGGAAACCCTACTTAACAAGGACTTTTTTTTGACAATCCCTGGATATTCGGCCTGGATTTTATTCCAAATATCCAAAATACTGTTTTAAGAGGTTGTTGTAATCAAGTGAGAGATTTTTTTGTTTTTATAACATAATAAAACATTATTAAATTAATTATCAATAAATATTAAAAATAAATATCATTTTAAAATAATGTTTTTTTATGTTTACTACACAGGTGGGTGTCAAATAACATGAGGACATTAATCAACTAGTGTTGTCCCATGTTAGCTTATGTTAAAATTATTATTTTTTCTTAAATTTTAAAACTAAACTTAACGACTTCAATGTTGAAAACACAATGCATAGTGTTTGCAATCCTCATGTCAAAATAATACAAACAAGCCAGAATCATCCGAAACCATCACTATTATTTATTTATGCAAGAAAACAATATCAACGAAAGACTTTACAGTCCTGACCTATATTTATGTGTCTGAATATACAAATTCCTATTCCATATCAAACAGTGTACACTTGTATAGACTTAAAAAATCGTCATGAGAATTATTGCGTATTAAATTAATACGCTAAAACCTATTTTAATATCTGTGTCTGTCGTTCAACAATCTATACATTTTCGTGAGTAAAGAACCCCGTTTATAAGACAAAACAAACCTATAGACATTTTTACTGTTACAACGTGTGTCAACAATAGAAATAGAGTAAATGGTTGGTGAACAGTCGAGGAGGGAGGGGCTAGAATGGAGAGCGTTACGTTCCCGCCACATCAGAAGCGAGAATCTAAAAAAAATTAAAGGAAAAATAAGGACAAATTAGTAAAACATACTGTTTACTATACCCTCTCAGGACTTTCATTTTTAGAGGTAAAGTGACCAACTGTCCCGCTTTACGTTGTATTGTACGACAATTTAAGCCTTTGTCCCGCGTCAAACTGAACATTTTGTCCCACTTTTTAATTCGACATTACTTAATTGAAAATAAACTATTTATGTGGCTTGCTGTCTATGGGCAGTCTATCAGTGCAGTCCATAGCAATGATAGGCTACTTAGTGGATAACGCGGTTGCTGACAGGCTGAGCGGTGTGTCAATCAAACTGACTGACTCGTAGCAATCACACGCGCTAGCATCTGAAAACGTAGCGCGCGCAGTTGTTTTGACTGTTAAGTTGCCTATGTGTAGCGTGCCGAAGAAAGACGACGCCATTTTTGACTGAGACCGCTGGATAGAGGTTCTGAACTGGCGTTCAGGAATTGGTGTGAAAACGGCTTTTCTGTCGGACATGGTGGTGGAAAAGAAGATGGTGGTTGCACGTGAGTAACAACAGAAAATATCCAGAAATGCGTAGTATTTTTTCTGCTAACCAAATGACACAGTTGTTTAAAATTACCGCGGTAGAAGTTGTCTAGTCAAGGGTGACTCTACAACGATGCAGAATCTGTTTGGTGCCGCTGGAGTACAGTATTTCTATTTTTTATTTTCATATTTTCGTCACAGACCCTTTTAGGTTTAGGTTATGTCTTGGGTACTATAGAGTTTTTGTTTGTTATGTAGGGGTAAGAGGCTCCATGCTTCCTGGAGGTGGTCACCCTTGTTACACGGCCAAAGTCACATTTTCTGTTTGACATCAGTAAACCCACAACATTTCACATAAAGTCAAATTTATGATCGTACCTGGACACCATCATCACATTCTTTAATGTTTGATGAGAAAAATCTTTACCTCCTAAATACATTGAAGAAATATTAAGATGGGTTTGGAAAAACTTGGAATTAAATTAGTGTATTGGAAATGGCTGTCAATTAGTTACATTTTTTAAATCCGATTAATCTCAGAGTAGCTAAAGATTAATCATGATTAATCATGGTCAAAATTAATCGTGATGAATTACAATTGATTGAGTGTTTTTTCTGTATATTGCCTTGCATTGATTGTGTATTAGGGTAACGATAATTTAATATTATTATTAACGTTGGAATTATTTGCTACATAGTGTGCGCCTGCTGTTTCTCATAAAAAAATTTTTTTAAAAAGAATCTGACTAATCCTTACAGATTAATTCATGTGATGAATGTGTTGACTTTGACAACCCTAGAATTGGAAAGCAAGAACTCTGCTCACTGAATTGTACAGATGAACACCACTTTTTATACAGTCATGGTAACACAGTCAAAGTGTTATGCAGCTGATGAGTTAACCACTAACCTCTCCTTTATCATTGTTTGGTGTGTGCAGTTGAAGTTGTAGGCTTGGTGCTGTCACTCGGTCCTGTTTTACCCTAACAGAATAGCAAACACTAGTGATGCACATATTCAATTTTTGTAGTTAATGTCAATAACAACAATAACAATAATAATAATGGTATTTATTAATATTATTATTATTGTTGTCATTGTTAAATTTTTTTTAGTAAACATACCTTTATCAGTTTAATCAGTTCCTCTCGGCTCTGTAAGTAAAAATGCAAAAAAGAAAAAGATAAATCATTTCAGTATTACATAAGAAAGTTTATCAGTGGTGTGGATTTTTGCTCACCTTCTGCTCTGTCAAACACCCTGTGATCAATATAAATAACCCCTGTAAGACACACAATAAAATTATTTTTCCTAGTTCCAAATTTAAAACATATTTATAGACACACACAATACCACTACATGAATGTTTGTTTGGTGTGTTGCTCTAAGTTACCTGGAAGCTATTGAGGATGACAAACATATATTCAGCTGGAACATACAGTGGATCATCAGCATTCAGCATTTGCAGAAGAAACCCGATCCCCCATGTGATTCCAAAAACTGGCGTTAGAAAGACCACCACTTTGAAAATGCTTTTGGCCGCCTGCTTTTCGCTTGCCTTGCTATCGTCCGGGACCGAAGTCTTCAGCAGAGTAACAATGACCACGAACATAGAAAAAAGATTTGTGAAAGTGATGGTTCCCACGGGGATAAGGAAGGGACCTTTCAAAGAGCCTTTCAAAATCTAGCCAGCACGACTTCCTGTCGTAATAATTCGTGTTGGTGTATTGGCAATGCAAATAACTGAATCCAACAATAAGAATTGGACAAACGTAGCCCACAGTACTGGACAGGAACATAAACACTCTTTTCCTCAGCGGGCTGAAGACAAAGATGAGCTGATGGACCAGCATGACACTCATGCAGAGCATCCAGCTGAACATGGCCAAGTAAAACAAGTGTTTGCCTATAGTCATAAAGAGGCACAATTTCTCTGAAAGTATGTCCGGAGAGGTGGTAGCCAAAAAACAGATGTCGGCGAGCAATCTGAATGTGGCAATGTTCACCAGTGCCGTGTGACGGAAGTGTGAAAGGTTAGACTTCACCACAGCAGACCAGACTAAAGCCTCGATGATGAGGTAAATCACTAAAGAGCAGAGCGACACCGCGAGGCCAACAGTGGTAATGACATCCAGGATAGGGTTGGGTGTGTTGCCTTTCGCCATGAGCACCGAGAACGATGTCAGGTGGTTGCACTGGCAGAGTGTATGGTTGTCACTGCTGGTTTTAGCGCTGCATCCTGCATCTGACCAATCCAAGCGAGCTGTATTCCAGAAGACGCAGTATGCATTTGTGGAGTCATATTCATTGGGAAAATCCAAGGTAATATAGAAGGATGAATTTATGATCTGCTCTGTTGTGGCTATGATTAAGGCATTACTAAGAGGGCAGCTTTCACAAAAATTATTATTTAATTTATCCGTCAGATTTTTGACTGAGACAGTTTTTAGCACAGTGTTTATTCCGTTGAGCTTTACACTGATGTCGAATACTGATGTAGTGCAGTCGCTGCCTGTGCACACTTTGAAGTCCATGTTTTGACTGCTGATATTTCTGACCTTGTCCAGTTTGATATTTCTCACCAGATTTTCTGTAGAATTGAGGAAGAGGGATGACATTTTATGGAGAACGGAAGTGTTGACTGGTTTCCAGGGTGTGTTTAATATGTTGCTTGATACATCAACAAAGTCCTGAAAAGAAAGAAAATAGTACACTTTAGAACTTTAATCACACAATGGTGAGATGAATACCATGTATTTGCTAGGTTGCATTTCCTCAACCATTACTTTGAATAAACCAGGAAGCATTGAAGTATTTATCTTGCTTGATTGAAAAAAATATACATTTGCAGCAGATAAACATTGCTAGATTATCTTTAAATGAAAAAGTAAAGGCATATGACTGGATTCTTTTTGAATGAAGTCAATTAGTAAAACTGAAGTACATTTTTTCCACTGTGGCCCGGGACCAAATTACCTATGGACCCGGCACCGGTCCCCGGACCAAAGGTTGGGGACCCCTGATTTAAGACACTAGAAGTAAGTTCTTAACATGGTGTAGTGTTCTTAGATGGAAAATTTTAAATAATATTTGATGGCAATGGTCTTCTTAACTGAAAACCTGTGATTGTTTTTGAAAGAGTGGAGAGTACAAAGCTTTGAGAATGAGAATAGTTGTTAGTATCTTACATGTAGGATAGTTTCGTTTAACGTAGTCTTTTGGGATGCGTCGCCCATCACATTTAAAATCTCAATTGAAGCAGTGAGGTCAGCTATAACGTCGCTATGAACAGTCGTGAAAGTGGTAGCATTCTTAAGACCTTTAAATATATGCACAGCCAGCTCATTTGTCGCCCCAAGTCCCATTTCAAAGTTCTGGAAACAAAAACGCACAAAATACATAGATGAGAAATGAAATGCCAATTTAATAGAAGAAAAGTTTTCATCTTCGTTCTTTTCTCTCTACAAAGTCCAATATATCCACTATCTAATCATGTCCGTCCTGCTCACTCCCACTCTTCATCTCTGTCACCTACAACCCAACCTTTTGTCTATTAGACAGTGTATGTGTCTCTAAACTTTACATCATAACACGTCTCACTAGTGCAGTGGTTCCCAAAATGGAGTCTAAAATCTATAAAAGCTGCTGTACTGATTTCCGCTGTCTTCTCCCTCCATTCCACCCTGGCGTCTCCTCCTTTGTTATTTATTCTGGATGGTTGACTTTCTTGTACACTGTTATTTATTCTGGATGGTTGACTTTCGGTACTTTAACTCATACACCTTTACTACGTTGAGTCTTTGGAGCTTTATTTTCCCATGTATTCTGTTTTGCTTCTGCCGACTTTCATTACTCTCAGCTCCAAAACAGACCTCCACCTCTTCTGATTTTCTGCTCCCTAGCACATATCATCTGCAAACATCATGGTCCATGGAGCCTCCTGTCTGACCACATCTGCCAACCTGTCCATCATCATAGCAAAGACGTTGATTGGATCTGATTTAACTGATTTAATCACTGATATAACCCCGCCCCTAACTTGAACCTATCTGTCACTCTGCCAGCACATCTATCTACCGAGTTGCTGGACTTACTACGCCTTACAGTATATACTCCTCTTCCACTCCTCACATATTCATATTCTCACCAAAACACTCATTCCCATAAACCGACTTTTCTTCCATATTTCTATAAATTCCAGAAAAATAATTTCACACTCACCACAGCTTGTTTAAAAACATCATGTAGTTTTTTACTGACACAGTGGTTGTACACAGGCTGCCAGACCCTGTTCTCACAAGTTCGAGACTTATATCCAACTGTTTCAGGTGTACATGTTGTATTAGTCACTGTCTCGCCATTTGGAGTTTTGGGCCAAAAACCATTTTTTTCTTCCGCAATGCAAAATTTTTCACCCACTAGAAAAAAAAAAGGCATTTGCTGTTAGAAATAAAACCAGAGCAAACACACGTGTCACAGTGGTTTATCACAAATACAGAGGTCCTCAACTTACGTCGGGGATCCGTTCCTACTCTACGTTCCGCCAAACAGTAACACAATTTTTGTTAGTCGGAACTCACATACTCTACATCAGTACCTATGTCACTCACCTACGCTACACAGTGGTACCATCGTAGTCTAGGACATAAAAACATTAGTAGAGTCTGAATTACGCCTGGGCATAATGAAGGGCAAAAAGTTCCCAAAAAAACAAAACAAATGAAGAAAAGCGAATGTAGCAAATTAGCGCCGTGTGACTACGTATTTGTCCGCTCCGATCGCCAACTACTTACGGTGCAAACTAGTGTACAAGTTTTACAAGCGACTTAACCACAAAACGCTGTAGGTCGAGGACGTTGTAAGCAGAGGACTCCCTGTATATCAAACGGTATTTGTGGTTGTAACTTTGTTTAGTTATTTAGTCAAATGAACATTTAAGTACATACCATAAATGACTGGAATTTCTTGTTGCTTACTCTTTGGTTGTCCCTTGCTGTTTTTAAATGTTATATTTGCAGATTGTGCTTGTGTTGTTCTTTGGCATTTGATGTTAGCCGTGGCGCTGTGGACCACATGGCCGTCATGAGCTATCAGATGAATGAAAAATAACAACATAAGACTTTTGACATTTTTCACGGCCAAGTCAAACTTGTGTTGGTCATCCGTAATGTCTTACATGTTTTGGATATTTCACTGAGTTTTAGAACTGAGGATTGCCAAGTCACGTTGTAAGGCTCCGCACTATTTGTGATGTTGACTGTGATGTTGGAAATGACGTCAGATGTATCACGGCACTGAACAGTAGGAGGGTTGAATTTCATGTGGATCTCTTCAGGCAGCAGGGCTACAGTCAACTCCGTCTCAGCCACATATTTGACAGAGCCGGAGATGAATCCACACTCGTACGTACCTACAGAGGGCATCCAAACAAACTTAACTTTGGGAACTTAACTTAGTTATTCTCGTCTTTCAAACCTCCACGTGTGCTTAATTTTTTTTTTCCCCTTCAAAGAACAATTTGTTCAACCTAGTTTAAATCTTTGATGTTTGAATTGTATTATTTTATTATGTATTTTAACATCATTTGTACTTTACTTGCCTGCCCAATCACCTGTGACTTTGTTCAGTGTCACAGCCACACAGGACTTGTACTCGGTGGTTGCACAGCTGCGGTTCAGTCTCACCACGCTGCCATTGCTGAGCTCAAACGTTTTGTTGAGTTTGGTCATGTACCAGCTACTTTGGTCTGATTCCAGCTCAGATGTGCAAGTCAGTGTTGGGCTGGACTCGTAGCACACTTTAGACTCAGGAGAGACTATGTTGACCGTGCCTTTTTGATGATGCACAAATGAGATACAGCAAAGCGTTATCATTTTCAAAGTACAAAAAAGAGACGGCTTTCTTGATCATCACCTTACCTGTTGGTAGTAAGCAGCAACAATGTATTATAGTAAAACAGAAACGTTTATTTAAAGCTAAAGTGATATGAAATATAGCATTAATTTCCCCAAAACATCAGTATTATTAGTGATTGATTTTGGTTTCTACTCGTGTGTATTTTCACTATATTTTCACTTTTGATGAATTTTAAACATACAAAATCATATAACATTAAATATACATAAAATAATAATACATATCTAATATACTTATCCTTATTTGCATGAAAAAAACGGACTTATTGTTATTTATAGTTAATTAGGTTTTGATTGTACTGGCTCACTTGATTAATCTAATTAGATTGTGTGAAACAAAATGAGTTTGACACCTCTGGTTTAGGGCATCATCTTTATAGAATTTGTACCTGTGGTAGATACACCCAGCAGGTGGCAGTATTGTATTTTTCAATAATAAAATCTGCCCTTTAAAGGCGAAGAAGAAGCTATATACTGTACGTTGATACAACATATAAATAGATTGTAAATTGATATAAGTATTTGCTCCAGTACCTTTCAGTGGTACAACTGAAATGTGTTAATTTTTCGGGTCTTCAATTCAATTAAATGTTATGGAGAAGTCACTGAAAAATCATTGCTAAAAATGGAATCAACTTTACTGCTCATGCCAAATTACCTACCTTTAATGTCGACATGAATAACAGCGTCTAGACTGTTTTCCACAGTCATGATAATGCTTTGAAGTTTGGAGGTCAGGACCGTGGAGCTGACGTGTGCCTCAAAGCCAGTGACGTGTGCCAGACTGTAGGAAGGTTTTGCCATTGTAACAAACAAAAATAAAAAAGATATGCAACAATTTTTTCGTGAAATATTTACCATGCAAATAGTATGTTACCTGTTTTCAGTGCGGTTCAGGGACTTATATCCATTCAGTTGCTTAAACTGGTTTTTCATCTTTAAAAGCAGCAGAGGGATTAATAAAGTTCTATCTATCTATCAGAACCATTCATTCATATCTTACTAATGTGCTGACCTGTTATTGCACACGGTCAGTATTAGAAGGTCACATAAATGTACCTGGGCAAATTTTTCACTGCTCCAAGTGGATGATCTCAGTGTAGCTTTTCCAATGATATACACTGTAGGAGAGAAACATCAACACTGGTTAGTTGTTTTCTCAACTGAATATTTGTACACATGAACCTGTTGTTCTTTGGCAAATGTTACGAATATCAGGTTCCGATTCAGATAGCCGTATGTAATTTAAAAGTTAGCTAAGATAAGTCGGGCTAGGTTTGATAACAACAACATAAGTTAGGTTTGATAACAAATATTTCTGAACATAAATAAATAAACACTCCAAAATAGTTTCAATTTCAAAATCAAAATCACTGATCATCATCTGCTGGCAAGGTAGGCATGCTACTGGCTACTGTATAGAACAGGCATTGGCAAACCATTTGGCTAACGTGCCACAGTGGGTTCTAAAATTTGACAGGGCAGGCCAGGTCAAGAAAATGCTAAAACACTTGAGCTTTTTGTACTCCATTTATTGGAAATGTGTGCATTGCAGGGAAAAGGCAGAAGTATAACGATAATATGAATTGATTATGTAATTTGGACAGATTTGGCGGGCCTGGTTAAAAGGACAAATGGGCCGCATCCGGCCCTCGAGCCATAGTTTACCCATGCCTGCTATAGAAGCACTGTAGAACATAGTACATGCATTATAGTTTCAATGTTACCGTCGACTTTTGGGATGCAGAGTGGTATTATATGGGATGCATTTAGATTACAGGGTTGGTCATTGCAACAGCCGTTATTGTAGCACACGTCATTGGTCCAAATGTATTCCGAAGAACAGTTGCAGTAAAATACTCCATTACTTATGACACATTCTAGAAAGTCAAGCACAAGTCATTAGATACAAAGACTCAGTCGGCAGGCATTTCATTTTGACATCGGTTAGACAATGTTCTCATGTTTTTAATCATGGACTACACAACAATCATTCTCAACTGGTGGGTCGCGACCCAAAAGTGAGTTTGTCCTTAACACCACTCATTTACATCATGGAAGAAGATGTGATATGATTTTTTTTTTTAGGATAAAAAAAAAACCAAACAGTTGTGACGCTGTTGGGAACTAATCCTTATTTTAATTTAAAATATGATTAACAATAAAACCTCTTGAAAAGAGCTAAATGTCAAACAAAAAGACAAATTGACAAAACAGATATTACATAATATGGTAATATGGAGCCGATAATATTGGACATCCCTACTTTTTTTTCTTGATGAATCTCTGTTGTAAGTTTTTGATACATATACAGCATGTTATATCTAATAATATGCTCTAGGTGGCGGCAGTGCTTATTTTATGTAGACTCACAAAGACAAACTATCCACAGTCTAATACCTGTTACCACTTGGTTGTCTAGAAGATCCACTGTGTATAGTTCTCCGTTGTTGTTCACCTGGACGCTGGTATTCAGTATTGACTGGACAGTGATTCTGTCCAGGGTGACGTTTGTCTCCACCATCAACTCAGCAACGTAGAACTCCTCTACGACATAGGATCGATATGCGTATATAACACAGCGTGCTCTCAACGGAACTTTTTGAACAACCGAGCTAAACCAACGAAGGCTTTTCCGTCGCTGACTTATGATGACGATAACAAGTTATTAGAAATGACAATATATTTGTATTGAACTTGTATAGATCTGTGGCATGCAGACATGCAGTATTAGTACGTTGTTGTTTAATCTGTTGATTTTTGTCCATTCTAGTTTTGGTGTATTGGATATAATGTCTTACCTGCTGCCATGACCTGTGATAACAACAACAGATTTTTTTCAGAGTGTGTATATATACACATATATACTTATACACATCTGTGCTTTAAGTTAAGTAAAAATAAAGACAGGGGACCTTTACCGGATAGCAAATGTACATCGACACCATCAGAAACATAAAGGCACTGGAAATCATTTTTACCCTGTGAAGTATAAAACAAAGAGCAATGCGACGGGCTCACGTTAATGCAAGAATGTAAAAAAAAAAAAATATTATTGTTCGTGTGGACAGAATTGCCTAACTGCATTGTGGTTGTAACACGTTGCTTTGCTTATGTTGCTGGAGTTCATGTTACTGTATGCAAATAATTCAAATACATGTGGTTGGGTGTGGTTGCTAACATAGATATTCATCAGTATTTATGTATAGAAAACATGGAACAAGTTTAGGAACTGTTATTTTATGGACAATAGCGCATTTCTCACAAGTTGGGTCTACTGTTCATTTTTCACCAAGAAATATCTCTTTCTTTTCATTTTCAGGTAAATACAGATGGGGCAGAGTCTCTGCAGATGAACACAGAATGGTATGTGTTTATTATTGTCTTTTTTTATTTACGGTAATGTAATTAGAGAAACGAATAGATAAGCAAATATATAATCTACATAAAAAAAAACTCAAAATGAGGCAGTTGCATTGATACTACATAAAAACTGTGGAAATTGAAATCCTTGTATCCGTGTAAGATTGTCAAGAAACCAAGAAAGGCCAGAACACCGTAAAAATATATATGAATATATAATATATATGCATTTTCTTCTAAGCGTGTTTCACAAGCCAGAACTGCATAGAGTTTTTTCTTCATAACAAAACATATTAATATAGTATACTTAAAATACTCTCTGTATTTGCCCTAAAGTAAAGTTAAAATTAAGAAAAACTATAGTTTTTTGGTGTGTCAACTATTGATAACAGTAATATACTGTACTAATAATTCTCAGAAATGACTAAAAATGCACTTGTTTGCCCTACAATACATAGCAATGACCTTTTATATGGTTTATATGGTAAATTTAGAAAAAAATATACTTTTTTACATCAACCATTGATAACAGTAATATACTAATAGGATTCAGAAAAAGTATTCCAAAATAAAAATCTCATAAATTAAAAATAAAACCAACTAATTTGCATTAAAATACATAGCAATGACATTTTTTATGGTTAAAATCCAGAAAAATTTAACTTTTTGTTTTGTGTATGTATTTGTTTATCCACTGTCTTCTTCCTTAGGTTTCTATTTTGAATTGCGATATTTACTGCAGTAGTCTTTCCTTATTTTTCTAAAATATGAGTTGGTTCTTTGTGGTTAACAGTCAAATGTTATATTATTTGATTAAAATATTAACAGTTAATAGTAAATATGAACTATTTAGATTAAAATAAAAATCCATGTTCAGTTCCTACCTTGGTTCGACGTCGGTGATTTACCAGGTTTTGCCACAGTCAGGAAGCGACCTCAGGTCTATTTAGGTGTTCATTATTGTCAGACTGTTTTAGACCGGACAGGCTGTTTGTTTGTTGGTGTTTCCAGCAGTGCAAACAATGTTGCCCTGTCTTTTGTGTAAACCATTTGCATATATTGCCACAGAGGTTGGTGCATGCACTGAAGCGTGTAGGTTTCCGTTCGTATTTGTCTAAAAACAAATGAAATGTTCTTCAGAAAGTCACTCCAGAGAGACTGGTTTCTTCTTTAGCCTCATCTAGAAACCTAAACAATTCTTTTACAAATTTTATTTAAGTCACCAATCACATTCCAAGAAAGAAGAATAATAAGACGCATAAGGCAAAATAAGGTACATAAAATGTCATGCAAATGATTATATTTATATCTTTTTTATTTATATACATATTTATCAATTGGAATTAATATACTTTCACTTATATAACCAGGTTAACACTAAATACTCCCCTTTTTAATTGAAATATTTTTATTGAAATATTTATTCAGTTGAATTTCTGCCACCTAGTGGTCTATTCACATACTTCAGGTGCATATTTCATCTCTGAAATAATTTATTCTACTTTTTCTTTCTTTCTTTGTTTTTAACAAGTAATCCATAGCGATAGGTATCATATACTTTGCGTCTGTCATGTTTATTGTCATAATTGTCTGTAACGATGACTCATATTTGAGCCTTTTCATGGTATTCATCTTGAGGATGGTAGTCCTGCGCTAAGCCTGTTCAATTTGCCTAATAGTCCGGCAAAGCAAACTTGTCACCGTGATGCCAACTGCTGACGAAGGAGTGCTAAACTTGGGTAACTCATTTGATTGGCAAAATAAAAGTATCAATTTTGCATCTGCTTTGACGACATTCTCAGTCATCCCACTCATCATACCCAAAGCAGTTAAGTAGAGCTCAACAGGACTGTGCTGGTTTCTCCAAGACATTTCAACTCTCATCCAAGAAGCTGTGGCTCATTGGACATTGGGGGGAAAAAACTGTTTGCGATTTTCTCAATCCATATTTTGGCATTTTTATTGACACTATTTTAAAAAATTCGTCAAACCTTATTATCATAGACCAGTGGTCCCCAACCTCGGGCAGAATAGGTCTACTCCGGCCGGTAACACAATACATTATTGTTAAATTTAAACCCCCAAGATAGCAAAATGGACAACAAACAGAAAGTTTTTTTAGTGCAGGGTAAAAAAGTCACTGAGGGAACAGACAATTCTAGGAGTTCGCCGCGCATAATAATAATATGAAGGGCTCTCTAATGAGGCAATAAAGCCTTTAAAACGGCTTCAGTTAATTTAAAGACCAAGCGTTCTGGATTAAAAGACAAGCACGAGGTTATGAGGACACTGCTAATAAAATTGCATACACAGCGGTACGAGGTTACGAGGACGCTGCTAATAAAATTGCATACACAGCGGTTTAACACTTGTATACCCATTCTTATACCTGCTGTATCATCTTATTTAGTTGTATTTATCCGCAGCACCTTAAGGACCGGTCCATGAAAAAACAAAATCTGACATTTAACCGGTCCAAACATAGCATTATTTTTTTAAAGAATAATATACTTTAATAATGTCTATTTAGGTTCATGTAGTAAAACTTTGCTTAGTCATCATGGCTTCTCTTCTTTTTTTTTTTGGCCTCTGCTCCCACTGTAGCTGTTCTGCAGGGCAAGGTTCCAGGGCGTTATGGTGGCCAGTAGACGGGGTGGCATCCTCATCACCTCTGCCGCGACTACTGGAACTGCTGGACGTCGTTCCTCAACCCGTCTGCAGTAGCTACAATCAGCCTCCTCACAGGGCCGACGTGACAGGGCATCCGCATTGGCATGGAGACGACTAGCTCCGCAGCTCGGTGATGTTGTTTGGAACTGGCCACTCCTTCACAGTAGACACCCCAGCACCACTGAGGATGTGCCCCAGCTCTGCGGACAGCTTGGAAGACCTCACGTGAAACCGGACAGAGCACCAGCAAAACTCTTGGCGTGTGAGAGGAGATCATCTTGGTGGACGACATACTTGTTCCGAAGAATGTCAGCCAAGACCTTCTCCAGCAGGCGTTTAAAGGTCGCAGGTGCGTTACATAGGCTAAAGGGAATTACTCTGAACTGCCACAGCCCTTGCCCAACGGTAAAGGCAGTCTTAGTCATATAGACGAAGGTCAGCGGTATACACACCCAGGCTCTCATTCTCTTTTCTCTTGCAGCTGTGGAGATTATCATTGGCATCGTCTGCAAAGCTCCTACAGCCAAAGCGGCGCTTGATTGCAACTGGCCAGTTCAGGTAAGAGATCTCTGATGTGCCGTTCGCGAGTGATTCGTTTAATTCGAACGTATCTTTCATATTACTTGTGAGTCCCGAGTCAGATGAAAGATTTGTTCATATTGAACTCACAAATCATTCTCTGAGAATTAATCACTCAATCCTCACTCCCGCGAGTAATCAGAAGGCTCTTGTCGGTTCCATTTTGTAGTGGTTAGCACGCCTGCCTCTGAAGCAAAGAGCAGCCAATCCTGGGTTCAATACCAAGAGAACCCACGTGCTTGGCGCCTGCTGGGGTCAGCATATCTGCTGCTAACACAACAATTTCCCCATATATGGGATCAATATAGTACAAATTTATTTATTTTTAATGAGTGAGTGATTCATTCTCAGTGTCTGTCCTCAGGTACTCGTTCTTTTGTCACGTGACACCCCGACATTAATTTATTTATACATAAAAATCGTAATTATGACATAAATTTAATTATTAATGTGAAAGAATCTGTAGATCCGTAGAAATTTTGTAGAAATTATTTAATAATTAAATAATTAATAAATAAATAAATAGAGTAGTCGATTTATATATTATTATATTATTATTTATATATATTATTTATATTTATTTATAAAAAAAAACTGAAATAAACAGAGAACATATGAGAAAAACATTTTAGATCTTCAATCACGTCAATCCACTAGGTAGTAGGTTTCAGGTGCAAATTTAATATATTGAATTTTTTATTTGCATGCAATTAACTCAGTGACATAAACAACACAAATAAAAGTAAACAAGTATGTGGCTTCATGATAAATTAGAACAGCTCAGCTACAAGATACAAAAGTGCAAAACAAAGCTTAGCGATGCTTCAAAACTTAGGGACATGTTTTGGAAAATATGTACAATTAGGTATTAAATTGTCAGTAAATATTTTAAAAGCAACAATCATAAGCAGTCCAGACTTAATGACGTAATTAATGGTTAAAAAGTAATCGAAACAAAAATTGGGCAATCAAATAATTAGGCTGTGTAGTGCAATTAAAAATCAAAGTAAGGTACAAAATGCTAAATAAAAAAATGTATTTAATTGTGAAATACCATGTTAATCATTGTGTTACAGCTGCTACTGTACAATAGAGAAAAAAGGGGATTCAGGTCAGGTGTTCGTAACGTGAGATGTGGATTCTTGAGACGATATATTGTAACCTGCTGAAGACAAAAAAAACCAAAATGATCAAAATTGGATTAAACAGCATGATAATATTTAACATTTTTATTTGAGGAGGCCAATGACTATGACTTTAC